TCTTTTTTTTAAAGGGGGGTTCAACTTCAGGACTGGAACGGGGTGGGGAGATTTTCATGGAAATATTTCCCTGGGGCATTCCGTATTAAATCGTGTACAAAGTCTACGCCGTAAGGTTCTTGTGTTGTAAAGTTCACATAATCATAGTCTCTAGGTACGACTTATTGCAAGTCCATTTAAAAGAGTTAAATGTAGAGTCGAGAATTAACCACCGATAGCTGATCTGTATTTGCCATCGCCACACTATAAGTATCGTACGTTCTCCAGGGGAGAATCTGACGGTCGAAAAGTTTGAAGAGAGAAAGAGAGCTGAGAGATTTAAAAAAAAAAAGAAGCATAATTCTGTAAAACTCAATGTTTATAACGAACATTTTGTATTCGTAAGCAAAAACAATAATTGTAAACAGATACGAAGCATAAGAAAGCATGAGTACGGGAAATCGTAAGAAATTTGATAAAGTCCGAGCGAGTTTCCCCTGGATAATGGCAATTCTGCGTTTACACGATAAAAAGGGGTGGGCTGGAAGGGTAGATTGGGTTGAGAGGACTTACGAGGCTGTTACCGTAGTTCGATCCATCCCTCTGATAAGAACACCGGTGAGCCACTTCGAGGCCGGACTTATACAATCTAGTATCGAAAATGTATTCATGTAATTCAGCATTATTACACATAAATAAATAGTTGTTATTGTACAAGCGTCTTCTAATTTCAACGATAACAATGGGAAGTATAATAAATTTCCATAGCCTCATTCCTGACATTACGTACCGCCAATTCGAATTGGAGCAACTATTGGCCTATTTGAAAAATGAAAAAAAATGCCCAAAGAGCGTTAATAGTGTAAGGAATACATATATATATATATATTATAACAAAAGAGTTAAGTATAGAGAAGGACAACATTACGTGCAGGAAAGAAGGAATTCACGTGCACGTCGTGCATGCCGCGGGGTCGGAGCACTTTCCGAAACGAGCATAGGAACAAAAAAGAAGGCGGACGACGCATGTGCAGCGTGTGTGATGCATTCTTATCAATTTGCAGTGCAGTAACGAGGTGAGGCACGCGACGCAGACGATTGGTGGAAGTAGACTCCACCCTTTTAGGGTACATTTTAATAAATAACCTTACAACAGAAGGAGTCGATTGTGGCAGGATATACGCGTACCTACCTAGATACGTATCCATACGTATTCTGCCATAGCTAAGTTTATGAGCCACAAGCTACACGAGGTGCGCGGGTACGTTGCCCGTACGTAGCTTCTGGTCAAGGAGAGCAGACGTTCCCTGCTGGCCATTCTAATTAAATCGCTACAGCTAGAAGGTCGGCAGCTGTCGAGACAATGTCTTCATTAAGTCCCGAGAAGCAGAGTTAATTGAACTGAGAATTATTACGTGCCAAAGTTCCAGTGGTTTCTTATGGACAGGTAGAAGAGCAGAGTTCCAAGAGAATTTTGAGATTGTTCAAGTTCTCTATATCATGGGAGTATCTAATTCGTGTTATCCCATAGACGAGTATCGACATTGGATGCTGGTAGTAAGTATAAGGAAGGGTCAGGAGGATGGCTAGAGGGTTAGAGGAGTGCTTGGTGATGTCGCTGGAGGTGCTGATGGTGGTGGTGGTGGTGGTGGTGGTGGTGGTGGGTAAGGAACGATACCAACAACGTTCGTACGTATTTCCCCTTCGGGATGTAAAAATGTAAAACGCGACTCGGCGCGCTGTCAGCATATTTGTGCGTAAGAAAAAAATGAACGTTTCAATGCAAATGAAGGGCTTGACTTCGTCGGCCCCCAACCGCAACCCCAAACCCCCGAATCCCGTGAACCGAGGAACCCTGACTCCGAGGGACGAGGACAGAGCGAGTGTGGCGAGAGAGAGTCCGAGAGAGAGAAGGCTAAGACCTTCCTTAGACTCCGGGACTTCCACCGCGCCCTCAAATCATAAAGATAACCGAATTGCTCGCTCCATTTTTATTCGGAGGACATATTGCCCGACAATCATTCCCGCATTTACATAATTATCGAATAAAATGACTGGCAGGGAGAGGGTGCCGCGCCGCGGGGCCTCCTCTAATACTCTCCTCCAAAGTACGGCTAATTTCATGCTTTTACTTTTTACGTTGCCCGACTATGGCGAGTGGAGATCGACTCGGGGTGACTATCTTTTTCTTTCTTTTTTCTCTCTTTTTTCTTCCTCTCGTTCATTCAGAGCCCTCGCTCGTTCGAGGGGCGATTAGCTGCGCCTAATTTGGACGGGACGCGATTTAGCGATATTCCTCTAATTAGAATGGTAATACCAACCTTTACGAACCGTACGACGACCTTTTGGCTTCTATACAAAAAAAAAGAATAATAAATTTTTTTTTTAATTTACCTACATTCCTCAAAATTATGCTTTTTCATTCTTCTGCGAATCTCTGTGCCGCTGGACCAACCGGTGCTCTCAGTGCTCCTGCACTCTCGTGTTTACATCTTGCTCGAGCGCTGCGGCCTGTAATCAGAAAATGCAATTACCTCGTGTTATTGAGGAATTAATTGATGCAAACGAGTTTCCAATACTCGACCACCCCGAGCGCATGCTGTCCCATCGGAACGAGCTTAGCGAGAACCCCCGAAGACGCGTTGACGGTCTTCGCGGATTTGGCAGGTCGGAGAGACGAGAGAGAAAAGAAGACAGTCACGAGGCTTCGATGAGAGTTGCGGGTAAACGAAATGTAACGTAAATAAGAAATATGATGAAACAAAGCTCTCGCCTCAATACAAAACGCTCCCGGCCCGCCGCTGAGTCTGAAGCGTCACTTCGAAGTCCCGCGGGAGAAGCATGTATTTTCCATTCTTATTTTTTTCCTCTTCGTTCGTCAAGATGTCACCGCCACTAATGAGGAGAGTTAAGCGCCCTTCAGACGGGACAAAACAACGGATTTTTATTGGGAGCAAGAGCCCTCTTACACTCTGTAATTTATGCTAAACGCTTTTCCCAGCCCAAGGAGAGCGCTCGTCACGAGTCAACCACGGAGCAGCAGCAACCGGCGACCAGAAACCAAAACTCACCGGTTTCACCAGGATACCAGCAGCGACTCCGGGACGTCCGAAGAGGAAAAAAAAAAATATAAATTTTCCAGCGAGAGAAAAACAGGCAGTTCCCATACGATGCTTTTCACCTATGGCTTCTGTAGCCAATGTAGGGTGGCGAAAAGTGGCGAAAAGTGGCGACAACAGGATGAAAATTCATCCTGCTAATTGAGGCTTCCGCGAAGGCTAAGTGCAAAAATAGAGGAAGTCAGGAGGCACGTAGATTGGAGCCTCCTCTTTGTGCCTCTTCGATTTGCGCCCATGAAACCGGTAATCAAAGTGTCCGCCCTGGACGAGATGTATCCTCGTGCGGATGACGCATTTCGTCACAACAGGGGAAATGAGGATAAGCATTTTGAAACATTCCACGAGTCAAAGGGGGCACAGGCGAGCTGTATCTTTCTATGTAAATAATAAGAAAAAAGGATTCTAGCTCTTCTGTAAAGTTAAGATGAATCTTGATAAACCGGTGAACCTTGATTGATCGATTTCTGTGTAATTCACGCAGTTGGTAAGAATCCAGTTGAGACTGTCCTTATTTTCCAGTTTTCCCTGTAATTTTCATTTTTCATTTTATTTCCCCCCTCCCTTCCTCTTCCATCCCGAGCTTCTTCGACGAGGACCCGGCTGACCCAATAGAGGCTGGTCCATCGTTCAACCTGTAATTACAGCTTACGCATCAAAAAGCCAAGCGAGGGCCGGCTCAACACTTCGCGTCTAGACCCGCGGCAGACGAGGCCCAAGAATTTTTGAATTTGATTTACAGCAGCGAGCTGCCTGCCTTACGGGGTGTGCCTCGATCGGTCCATTTTGATTGCGCTTACCTCTAATCGAGGCCGAAATGCCCGAGAGTTCATGAATTTGTATTAGAGAGGTCGATTAGGACCATCCAGAACTCCAGCTGCAAGCTTTTTACTTCGCACGCGAATGACAAGCGTCTGCCAATTTGTGTATCGTGCATAGATCCTGTCTCTCTCAGTTGATCGCAATTAGAATTTTTTCATTTTTCGATTCACGGTCACAAGGCGACTCCAGCTACCGATAGAGATAACGTTCTCGCTTTCTGGTTCCCTTCCATTTAGTTTATAGGAACGATTCGAGGGAGATGGAAGAGTTATCGGCTATAAGGATCTCGACCAATCAGAATGATTAGTCCTCGAATTTGGCTATTTTGTCAAAACAGTCTGTCTCGGGACACCGACCGAGGTGTCACGAGCTGCCTCGCGCTCCCGTGCTATTTGTTTACAGTTTTTCTAGTTGTGTTTCGGTACGGTATAGGTAGTTCTCGCGTTGCTCTCGCGATATCCACGAAATTCTATGGATTTTCTATAAGTGTTCCGGAAGTGCAGTGTTGTGCCCCAGTGCAGTGCCCACCTGATTTTCTCCCGTGCTATTTGCTCTTAATTTTTCTAGTTGTCTTTTGGTACGGTATAGGAAGTTCTCGCGTTGCTCTCGCGATATCCAGGAAATTCTATGAATTTCCTGTGAGTGTTCCGGAAGTGCAGTGTTGTGTCCCAGTGCAGTGCCCACCCGAGTGTCTCCTGGATGCAGTTCTCGGCCTTCACGGATCAGCTGCACCAGCTCCGGTGAGTCTCCAAATTTATTAATTGGTGAAGGGATTACTAGCAGCCTGAGCGGTCGCGCATTTCCGAAACCGCCCGCTCCCGTTCGTACATGCAGTTGCGTTTGCTGGTTTCCCGCGACCCCAAACGGTTGCGTTTCTCGATTTTACGCGTCCCCAAAACTGTACAGGATCCCTTGAGGCTGACGCCCGCCTGGCTTGCGGATGCCTGAGCGAGAGCCGAAGATAACGTAGGTTAGTTCTCGGAGTTTTCGTTATCGGTGTCGAGTTAAGACAATACGTTACAATATATACATTAAACAAGTATAATCATTCCTAATGACTATATTACCGCGAAACCCCTAAGACACCCCATTAGCCACAATGACACCTATAATTTCGTCCTCGGATCGGAATTACACGGTGATTATCCCCTAAAAGGTTTTTATTAGAGAGCACGAAGGTGGTTCCTCCCAGGTCTCAGGACGCCGTTCGCACGTATCGTCCTACTGCAGAACTGCTTCTCTGAATCCCGATTTAAAAATATCTACTCCAGTGGGTAGAATAGATGATCCTATTGGTACCCTAGCTGGATATCACGGAGAGTCAAGGACCTATCGGAAAATCATCACTTGGCAAGGTCCATCGAGGAGAATCGAGTCGAGAATGAGAGTAAAGGAGAAAAGGGGGAGAGAGAGAGAGAGAGAGAGAAAGGAAATAACATCAGAGCAGGCTGCCTTAATGTAAGGCAAACTCGAAGGAGGATTAATTTTCGTGAGCGAAGGAGCGAGGCGAAGCACGCATCGGAAACACATAAGACGCTCCCCTCCAGCCTGCTGTATCGCTAATCTGTTTAAATAACGAAACATCCCTCGAGGGGTGCATGGGACCAGAAAGCAAGAGGCCAGATCTGGCTGGTGCAGGAAACTGGAGAGAGAGAGAGAGACAGAGAGAGAGCGAGTGGAGCAAAGGAACCAGTGGTTGGATGAAGAGTTGGTCGGAGAGAGCGAGAGAGGATGCTAAGGAGATGGGTGGTAAGGCGAATCGAGGCGGTACGCGAATTCTCGAGGAGAGGGTAAACGAAAATCAATGCATCCAACACCCGACGGAGCATCGGCGTCTTCGGTCCCCTTGGCCTTCTCTCCTCTTCCATTGCTTTGCTTGGCTTTTCTTTCCTCTCCTTTCTGCCTACTTCTCTAATCCAGCTGTACCTGAGACTCGAGTGTGACGCAAGAACGAGAATCGGGATCGCGCCCACCTAAGGGGGAAACTACCCCCGTTTCCATTTGGCGACGGGGCTGTCACCGCGAGATTAGCCTTTTTATCGCGGGACGATGATGCTTGTTTAGCCTGGGACGGGAAGGCACGGGTTTCCGCTGGAAGAACTCCTCTCGTGTCTCCAGATATGAGTTTGCTCTTGGGTTACTTTCCAGGGAGTCTAACGATTTTACGTTAAGTTGTCGGAGGGCCAGATTCGATTGGGGGTTCGACGATTGATTGGGATACTTCCGTTGGCTCTGGAAGAGTCCGTCCTGATTGGCTGTCGAGTCGCATTGCAGTTGGGCGGGAGTGGAGGGCGCGGTGCATATATTATGCAACTTATGCGAGCAGCACGTCGCTAACCTCCTTGGAATGCGGCACGGGGTAGGTCTCAATGTAAATTTATTCAAAAGTTGAAAAAGCTGGTTAAAGGAGAGCAGGGGCCCTTGTAAGGGAATCGTCGGCGTGTAATGGTCCTGCGGATGGCGGTTCCTTCCTCGATTTTTCATGTTACTCGCGCAGGGAGGGAATTCGTCTCGGGCGGCGGCCGCGGGCTGCCAATCGAAAATTCGGCAGGATGGAAGGCAAAGTGTATGGAGCAGAGTCGCGCGGGACAGTCGCGAGCCAAATTGAATACCTCTAGCTGGGCCTTATCGGGACTGAATATCTCCGAGGCGTCGACAGGTAAACTGTAATTTTGAACCGCATGCGAAATGCAAAGTGCAGCCGCGCAGATCGCGGAGGCGTCACTTTCGCGAGGGACCTCGGATAAAATCAGTCGAACAGCCTCCCGGACGAAGTGCTGCCTAATCGAATCTCTGCTACGATAAAATTCGATATGTTAAAAGCGAGGGATGCGCCGGGCGAATCACACGGGACCCCCCTTCTTCGCGATGCATCCGGCCGTAAAGTCAATTTGGTCGAATATCAAGTCCGTACAGTTGGAACAGTTGGAACAGTTGGAACAGTTGAAAGCGGGTTAAAAGGAAATTGTGGAATCGATGGCGGCAGCGAATTGGGCCCAATCGACGCATATGGCGCTAGGGGTATATCCGATGGATGCTTAATCGAACATAATAGCCGAGCGTAAGCTGCGCTATGCCATTGTCCGAAAAGATGAGGAAGAAAAAAAGAAAAAGGAATTATGAAGCAGGATCGTCAAAGGGATCCCACGATCTACCGAATGAATTCCTCATCTTTTTCCAGAGTCCGGCATAATGGAACTTTCCAAATTTACCACACCTGTCCCAGTTGGCAACCTGCTCTCTTTCCCTTTAAGGGTAGTTTCCACCTCCTCCCTGTCCTTCACTCCCACGCGTTCCAGCCCGGGCCCCCCCACCACCCCGCACCTTTGCCTATTCTTGGCATAAACCAACAAGAAAGGCCCGAGAACGATGGAGCCAGAAATATCACGAGAAGCATATAACTCATAAGCAAAGAGCCCTGCTTTCTCACGGAAGAGATTTTTCCGCGTCTCGATTAAATCCTGACCACATCCGTCGATCAGTCAGGCAGCATCTTTAACAGGCAGTTGATGCATTCTTGCGTGTACCTCGGCACTCCGCTCGACATGACCCATCAGGCGCCGCGGATCCTCT